CTTCATCATCATCCTCTTCTTCTTCTACTTCTTCTTCCTCTTCATCATCCTCTTCTTCTTCTTCTACTTCTTCTTCCTCTTCATCATCTTCACTCCCTTCTTCTTCTTCTACTTCTTCTTCATCATCATCATCCTCTTCTTCTTCTTCTTCTACTTCTTCTTCATCATCATCATCCTCTTCTTCTTCTTCTTCCTCTACTTCTTCTTCATCATCATCCTCTCTTCTTCTTCTTCTTCTTCTTCTTCTTCTACTTCTTCTTCCTCTTCATCATCTTCATCCCCTTCTTCTTCTTCTTCTACTTATTCATCATCATCATCCTCTTCTTCTTCTACTTCTTCATCATCATCCTCTTCTTCTACTTCTTCTTCATCTTCATCATCATCATCCTCTTCTTCTTCTTCTACTTCTTCTTCCTCTTCATCATCTTCATCCCCTTCTTCTTCTTCTACTTCTTCTTCATCATCATCATCCTCTTCTTCTTCTTCTACTTCTTCATCATCATCCTCTTCTTCTTCTTCTACTTCTTCTTCCAATTCATCATCATCCTCCTCTTCTTCTTCTTCTTCTTCTTCTACTTCTTCTTCCTCTTCATCATCTTCATCCCCTTCTTCTTCTTCTTCTACTTCTTCATCATCATCATCCTCTTCTTCTTCTTCTACTGCTTCATTATCATCCTCTTCTTCTTCTACTTCTTCTTCCTCTTCATCATCATCATCCTCTCTTCTTCTTCTTCTACTTCTTCTTCCTCTTCATCATCTTCATCCCCTTCTTCTTCTTCTTCTACTTCTTCTTCATCATCATCATCCTCTTCTTCTTCTTCTTCTACTTCTTCATCATCATCCTCTTCTTCTTCTTTTTGTCTTCCTCTTGCAGGTCACTGCTCATGCGCAGATTTTTTTCTCGGTAAAAAATCGGCCGATTAGCCCATTATTGCCGATTTTTTCCAACTTTCCCGATTTAAAAAAACGGCCAAAATACCGAAAAACGGCCGACCCAAATCGCCCACTAACGATCCGAAAATCGGCCGATTTTCGACCCATCTATGGCCTGCATTAGTCTCTCCTCTGCTAGTCATCAGTGTCTTGCTTCGCTTGCTGTCAGATATTGAGTGCCATTTATCCTGCTCTTGATCTTGCTCTTGCTTTGCATCCTGTACCCTGCTGCCTTATTTCTGCTCCCCTTGTACATGATCCCAGTCCTGGTTCCCCCTTCCCATATGTTCCATGCACGTGTTTACCTTGTTTATCCATTTTTCCCATTTTTTTGTACATACACTATATTGCAAAAAGTATTGGGATGCCTGCCTTCACACACACAACTTTATTGGCATCCCAGTCTTAGTTCATAGGGTTCAATATTGGGTTGGCCCACCCTTTGCAGCTATAACAGCTTCAAGTCTTTTGGGAAGGCAATCCACAAGGTTTAGGAGGGTGTCTATGGGAATGTTTGACCATTCTTCCAGAAGCACATTTGTGAGGTCAGGCACTGATGTCAGATGAGAAGTCCTGGCTCGCAGTCTCCGCTCTAAATCATCCCAAAGGTGTTCTATCTGGATGAGGTCAGGACTCAAGTTCCTCTACCCCAAACTCACTCATCAATGTCTTTATGCACTGGTCTGCAGTCATGTTGGAACAGAAAGGGGCTATCCCCAAATTGTTCCCACAAAGTTGGGAGCATGAAATTGTCCAAGAAGTCTTGGTATGCTGAAGCCTTAAGAGATTTCTTAAGAGTTCCCTTCACTGGAACTAGGGGGCAATCCCAACCCCTGCAAAAAAAAAAAAACCCCACACCATAATCCTCCCTCCACCAAACTTTACACTTGGCACAATGCAGTCAGGCAAGTACCGTTCTCCTGGCAACCGCCAAACCCAGAAACGTCCATCAGATTGCCAGACAGAGAAGCATGATTTGTCACTCCAGAGAACACGGCTCTACTGCTCTAGAGTCCAGTGGTGGCGTGCTTTACTCTACTGCATCCGATGCTTTGCATTTCACTTGGTGATGTAAGGCTTGGATGCAGCTGCTCGGACATGGAAACCCATTCCATGAAGCTCTCTATGAACTGTTGTATTAATCTGAAGGCCACACCAAGTTTGGGGGTCTTTAGCTAATGACTCTGCAGACAGTTGGCGACTTCTGTGCACTGTGCACTTTAGCATTCGCTGACCCCGCTCTGTCATTTTACGTGGCCTATTGCCTTTTACGTGGACCTGGTACACAGGTGGCAACCTATCACGGGACCACGCTTGGAGTCACTGAGCTCCTGAGAGCGACCCATTCTTTCACCAATGTTTGTAGAAGCAGTCTACATGCCTAGGGGCTTGATTTTATACACCTGTGTCCATGGAGATGGAGGAATACCTGAATCCAATGATTTGGAGGGCTGGTTCAATACTTTTGGCAATATAGTGTATTGCAGATAGTTTGTTGGTAGCCTTGCTTCCCGTTACTTAGTTAGGCATTTTGGTTATACGGTATTGTTGTTGTTCACTTCTCTTTTTATGTTTGCTGTTCGCTGGTGTGTGGATGTCTTTTGTTTTACTTTTAATAAATTCACTTTACTATCCACTTGAGCTCCGAGAGAGTTTAGCCCCTTCATGACTAGGCCATTTTTGGCAGTTTTGCACTGCTCTGCTTTACTGCTTTACGCAAAGGAAATGTTATATCATTTTTTCACACAAATAGAGATTTCTTTTGGTGGTATTTGATCACCACTGGGTTTTTTTTATTTATTTTGTAATATAACAAAAAAAGACCCAACAATAAAAAAAAAAAATTAAAAAAAGTATTTTTTACTTTCTGCTATAGAACATATCCAATAAAAATAAATAGCAAAATCTCTTTGTATGTTGATTGTTGTCACAAGGGATGTAAACAGCCCTTGTGACAGCAATCAGCAGTGACAGCTCCTTTACTGATAGACCCCCAAATGTCTCCCCTGCCCTTAAAAACAGCATAAGATCCGACCAAGAATAGTCTGATCTGATGTTTGTACAAGCAAGTAACAGTTTGTAAACAAAAGACCTGAACCAGAAGTGACAAAATATTGACCGCTTTCAGTTCCTAATGCCAAAGAGGTGACTGGAAATGATCTGGTCTCTGAAAACCTGTATTGTAAGCCAAAGAAACCACTTTAGTGCTGGGCTCCCTGATCACAAGGGAGAGCCCAGAGAGGCACTGGATGGTGGCGAAAAAGGGGAGACAACCCCTCCCACTGCCCATAAAAACAATCCAGCAGCTAATTAGCTATTAGGATGGATTTTACATATAAGAGAATCACTAGCTGAAAAAAAGAATACTGAGATGATGAATATAGTTGCAGGCATCATCTTGGTAGAACCACTTCTACCAAAGGACATACAGGTAGGTCCTATGGGAAGGAATGAGTTAAAGAAGATAAGAAAACGATGAAAGACATATAGCATTGGTTGACTACTTTCAGTCCCCACTATAGCAGATTTATTGCTACAGGGCGGATGTTCTGTGCAAAACCACATATTTAAATGTGATTTAGCACTTCAGCCACAGGGGGGCATGTGCCTACTGCCAGAGCTCTGCTTCTGTTGTGATTGGACACAGCAGAAGCCGATCAACAGGTCCCAGCCTATGGATGAGTGCCAGCACCCATTTATCATGGAGGAGACTAAAAGCACAGCTCTTCCTATGTAAACAAGGCATAGCTGTGTTCTGGCAGTGGTGATCTGCTTTTCTTTAACTGCAAATTAGGGGATAAAATCTAGCAGATTGCCTAGTAAAAACAGCACACTGTACACACAAAAACACTGGTTAGACACATAATTGACCCTTTGATCACCCTAGATGTTGAACCCCTTTTCTGCCAGTGTCATTAATACAGTGACAGTGTATATGATCAGTGTTGGTGGTGGGGTGTTGTGTGAGATCTGTCACTGTGTGGGATCACTCAGTTCAGTTTTTGCAGGTAAAAAAATGTGCATTTATTATTTTTGTCCAAAGGACCCTGGAAAGCATTGCACCAGCGATCAGTAGATCACTGATGTCATGAAGGTCTCCTGCAGACCTATCAGAATATCTGCTTGCCTTACAGGGATGTACTGTACAGCAGGCAGATATTCTGACAGGAAGCTTCAATGAACTACTACGGCGCTCCAAAGTGCTGTGGTAGTTCATTAAAAACTACAAGCCCACAGCCGCTAAGGTTGTTGGAACTTTCAGTTCATTCATTCATGGAAATCTGTAAATTAATGGTGCCGCCATGTGTGCAGAGCCCCTCAAGGCCACGCTGTTTTCAAATATGACAGATAGTATAGGGGAACTTCTCTCGGTACTATCTGTCATAGGGAGGGGGGTGTCGGTTGGCAGCTACAGCTGTGGGAACATGTAACATGTTCCACCCTAAAAACGGATGGAACATGTAACATATTTCCAAAGGTAAACTTATCCTTTAATACAGAGAATGCTTTAAGATAAAAAGAAAAACCTTTAGCCTTAGAACCACTTTATTATTTCAATTACAGGGAGTGACAAGGACACTGCATTTTTTTTAATAAGATCAATGGGTATTTTCTGTACTTAGCCAAAAAAAAAAGAAAACTGTTACCACCACATCCAAGAACTGGTAGGCTTCAAATATATACATTTTGAGTTTTGGTTTAGACATGCTTTAATCATAGAGCTGAATGGAGAATCAACAAACTTTTACAAATCACAAAATAACACTCATAACATTCTTAAAGGGATACACAATATTTATCACTCTTGAGCACTGGGAACCTAAAGCAATGTTGGGAATGATTATTTAAAAAAGTACATATTTGGCCATTTAAGGGACCTTTGCAACGGGTCAAAAACAAACATATGTCATATTTTTACTCAAAATTCAAATCCACATGACCCATTGACTAACTTTTGTTTTATCTAGTTAGATCCTACATATAATCTAACGGCAATCACAGAGGTCATCCTCCTTGGAATTCAATGCCCTGGACACTTAAGAATATTCTTCTTCTTTTTTCTTTTAATGATTTATATTTTGACTATTTGTGGGAACCTTTCGATGGTTATTCTGGTGGCCTACAGCAAAATCCTCCACTCTCCTATGTACTTCTTTCTTGTACAGCTCTCTCTATGTGATATCATGCTGACAACAGATATTGTTCCCATCTTATGCCACACTGTTTTATATCAAACTGTATCCATTTCCTTTATAACGTGTATTGCACAGTATTGTATCTTTGTAATCTCTGAATGCTGTGAAGGTCTTCTTCTCACTGTGATGTCATATGACCGTTATTTGGCTATCTGTATGCCACTGCACTATGCTTCTATAATGAACAGTATGTTTTGTATGAAACTGGCTATGATACCTTGGCTGTTGAGTGTATGTACCATGGTGGTAACTACAACCTCCATTGCCTTTTTGCAATTCTGTGGACCCAATATAATTGACCATTTCTTCTGCGATGTGTCACCTTTGTTGAAACTTTCCTGTTCTGATGTTTCTCTTGTTCAAACTGAGCTGGTTTTCCTGAGTGTTCCAGTGCTTTTCCTGCCATTCTTGTTCATCTTGTTTTCCTATACAAATGTTATTGCTACTATCTTAAAAATTCCATCTATTACAGGGAAACAAAAGGCTTTTTCCACTTGCAGCTCCCACTTGATGGTTGTGTTCCTTTATTATATAACATTGATTTGTATGTATGATCTACCAGCCAGCGGACAGCCCCTAAATATGTCACTCCTCTACACTGTTGGAATTCCACTGATGAATCCAGTTATTTACAGCCTAAGGAACAAGGATATAATAATGGCTGCCAGAGACTTATCCTGTCAGATTATAAAGTTCTTCATCCACTTTAGGTGACAAATGAATTGAGCAAACATTTGTCCTCAGGTTGTACTGTAGACATTGTTATTACAAATCTCATTAAAATATTCACTCTTGTGTCGGTGGTTGGCCAAATTAAAATATAACTAAAACCAAAGGCACAAATGTCAAATATTAGAGCTACCAGTCCTTGGATGTGATGAATGCCTTAGTATTCTTTTTTCCTCCCTTTATTTTCACCTGATTACCCTGTCAGTAAAAGATTTATCTGCTAGGCTGCTGCTGTCAAGGTGCCTGAGTCTGTCCAAGTTTTATCCAATTGTGAGCCCCGATGAAGGGGGATTTCCCCCGAAAAGTGTTGAAAGTTTTTATATGACTTTTGTTACCAACAATTCAAATTACCTTAAATAATTTTATCCAGTTTTGGTCTAGTTCTCATTTCTGTTTCTCTTTAGTGAAATATTTTTTGCCCAAGACAATGTTCAAACACTGTTTCCAAAAATAGTGTTGCGCTATCACATATAGCATAAATTCATAAAGAATGCAGAAATCATATTATTAACAACTAAGAGTCCAATAAAAAATTCAAACAGAAACTCAGATAGTCAAGAGATCCGGCCTGATAGAATCAAAAGCAGTGGAGAGAGGAGGGGCGTGAGGATGGCGCTGTGTGGTCACATGAGATAGGAGCTCCCGACGCCCACAATGGTACTCACCTGAACACTAGGCTTTGCTGCATTGTTGTGTTGTTCCCAATTTGGAGAGCCCTGTAGGTTGCTGAGTGGCTGGAGGGGAAGAGAGACCCGTCGGAGCCTGGGTTGTGGCCAGTTAGAGGCACCCGGTGTGTCTTGGGGGTCCAGTAGAGCCATGAGTCACTGTGCAGAGAGAGACCTGACAGAGGAGCAGAGGATGCCGAGTAGACCTGTGTGATCACAGGACCATGGGACTGATCAGGTGACCGGGGCAAGGAAGCCTGGGAACCTGGGAGGCAGGTGCTGGACGGAGTTGTATGGAGCCAGTCCTGGGGTTGGAAGAGGAAACCTGAGGTGGAGCCCCCGAACACCAAAGGAGACTGCCTGAGACCAGCAGTTGACATCCAGCCGTTGGATGCAGGACATAGGAGAGGGTGAGTTGCTGCGGGAGGCAGCAAATCCCCAATGCTGAAGTCATGTATGCTACTGTCTTTGCTGGGAGAAAGGTGAACATAATAGAAGCAGCTAAGAGGTCTCAGAGGCTAAATGGAACTTTATGAAAACAAGTTTATGTGAAAAAAATAGGGGGCACCCAGGAAGTGTAAGGTGAAGAAGGAAAAGAAGGGAACACCAGAGAACTCTAACCCTCATAAAGATTAGGAGGGGAAAGACACTTATCGAGATCATTGTTGCGTGTAAGGACCCGGGGAAACTGGAAGTAAATTTCTACCTGAAGCTATAAGTAACTGTTCAACTTTAAGAATATGAAAATTAGATCTTTCAAAGGAGGAGGAGCAAAAACTCCCCAATTGAATTTAAATACAAGCGCAATAAAGAAGTATATGCCTTTGCAGTGGAAAATCCCAGAGGAAGAAACCCCAGAGAGTCACGGTGAGTAAATTGCATCCGAGATCAAATGATATTGTCTTTTGAGGTATCAGATAGGAATCAGTTGAAAGAATTTTCAAAGTTGGATAGCAAAAGGGGGAAAAGGAATATAAAGGAGAAAGAAGTAAGGTCACAAATGCCCACAAAATTGGAAATGGCAGAAATGTTTACTAAATTAAAGAACTCCATTAAAAGTGAAATGGCGGTTTTACACCACAAAATGGTACAAGTCCTGTCATGAGTGGAAGAAACAGAAGGGAAATTGGAGAAACAAGCCCAAGTAATCAACAAACTAAAAGTGAAAGTGGCGGAAAAGAGAAGAGAACAGAGAATGCTATTATATAAACTAGAAGATCAGGAAAACCGAGATGGAAGGAATAACCTAAGGATCAGAGGCTTACCAGAAGGGTGTCAGGGAGAAGATCTACGGGATACTATGAGAAGATTGTTCAACCCAATATTAGGGAGAGGAGAGATGGAACAACTAAAAATAGATAGAACAGGATAAAGAGATCCCAAAGAGTTACATCAGATAAGCCATGGGATGTGATAGTACGGTTTCCTTGAAATGAAGATAAAGAAATCATATGGAGGAATTTACAAGGGACATCAGAGATAAAAAATGGAGAAGGGTAAATGGGGAAGGTCTTCCTGCTCTGGATTGTGGTTATCTGTACCCCAGTAAAGAGAATATAGAGGAGAATAGACAAAATGAGAGGAATGAATACAGTTAAATTTATGACATATGATGTAAAAGGAGTAAACACTCCAAATAAAAAGGCATAAGGTATTAAGGGAAATACATCAATGAAGTGGTGTTTGTTCAGGAGACACATATATCCCAAGATTCAAATGTTAAACTATACTCTAAGTATCTGCCAATCTGGTACTATGCAAACTCTCCAATAAGATGGGCAAAGGGAGTGGTGATAGGATTTGGAAAAAGTATAAATTTCACGTTTAGTAGCTCCAGATGGTCGATACTTATTCTTGAGAGGAAACCTACAGGGAAGGGAGTGTACGATGGCAAATATTTACTGCCCTAATAAAAATTTGACGGTATATATGGGAAGGAATATTGAGGAAACTTACAGACTTTAAAAGGGGTAGTCTGATTGTGGCAGGAGATTTAAATTGTGCATGGACTCGGAGATGGATGCCATATGGAGAGAGGGAGATAAGAGTCTAAAGAAAGTAAAAAAAAAAATTACATCAATGCCAGCTAAAGCATACTTGGAGAGTCAAACATCCAAGAGAAAGAGACTATACCTTCTTCTCTGAGGCGCATACGTACTCATGGTTGGATTATATATTGACTGAACATAGACTCTTGGATTCTCTAGTGAAAGTCAATATAGAAGTAATATTTATATCAGACCATGCCCCTGTCACAATGAGACTACAGTTCGGAAGGGAACAGAACAAAATTAATATGTGGCAATTAAATTAGATGATTTTACAAGACCCAAAAACAGAAACAAAAGTAGAACAGGAAATTTAACAATATTTTAAGTTTAACAAACCTAGGGAGGTTACAATCCCCACAGTATAGGAAGCACACAAGGCCTATGTTAGGGGTATACTGATTGCGATAGGGCAGAGAAAAAGAAAGAACAGGGTGAAATAATTAGATCATTAATGGAATAACTATTTCAGTTGGAACAATTGCATAAAAAAGAAAATAGACATAGATATACAACAGGAGATAATAGTAAAAAAAAAGAAGAGTTAAAGGATCTAATGGAACAAGAAACAAGAAAGTTTTACAATAAGGTTTCAAAGGAAAGATAACAGTGGGGGAATAGACCTGGGAAATATTTAATGAGGAAACTGAGAGAAAAGGCTGGCCTACCCAGATTGAATGAAGTTAGATTAACAGCTTAATTCCACAAGAAGAAGTTAGCCTAGCATTGAAGAGTACAGCTGTAGGTAAGAGCCCCAGCCCCAATGGATTTACTGTGGGATATTACAAGAAGTTCAAAGAACAATTAGTCCCTAAACTGTGTACATATATGAACGCATTAGGAGAAGAGACAGAGCTGAGGGAGGAGTCGTTACAGGCTTATATCACAGTTATACCTAAGGAGGGGAAAGATTGCTCTCAGTGTACCAGTTACAGACCTATATCTTTGCTGAATACTGATACAACACTTTATGCAAAGGTATTAAACAAGGATGAAGGAGCTGATGCTCGATTGGATACATCTGGACCAGTGGGATTCATCCTGGGTAGAGAAGGAAGGGACAACAGACTAAGATCATTGCATATCCTGCAAAAGAATGGAAGAGGAGAGGTGTCAGGGGTTATTGTATTCATCCATGACAAAAAGGCCTTTGACAGCGTGGATTGTGGATTTATGATAGACACATTGAAGACATTAGGAAATGAGCCCAGAATGATGCGTCGGATAAAAGAGTTGTATAGGTTCCCATCAGCTGCAGTGAAGGTCAATGGATCACTATCAAAGTTTTTTAGGATATGTAATGGAACAAGACAGGGATGTCCACTCTCTCCCTTGTTGTTTGTGATCTCTCTGGAACCGCTATTGGCAACTGTAAGAAACAGTGTAGATGTCAAAGGAACATGGGTAGGGGAGGTCGAGCATAAGGTGGCAGCATATGTAGATGATATGCTATTTTATATCATAAACCCTAGACTAAAATTACCAAATTTAATGAGAATAAAAAAGATTACAGAGAGTTAGAAAACTTGAAAATTAACCCCTCAAAATCCGAGATTTTAAATATTAATGTCTCAAAGGTTCAGAAACAAACTTTAAAAAAAGAATTCCATTTCACATGGAGAGAAAAAGAATTAACGTACTTGGGAATAAAATTAACTTCACCCATAAAAAAATTCTATCAGTTAAATTATATCCCACTAATAAATGAGATAAAGGATAAATTGAGAAGAATATCAATGGGAACATTGTCCTGGACAGGCCAAATAAATATTATAAAGATGGTCATAGTACCTAAAGTCTTGTTAAAATTTAATATGCTCCCAATACAGCTACCAGGGTCCTTTTTTAGGATTCTAAAAAAAAATAATAATACTCAGATATGTTTGGGCTAATAAAAACACAAGGGTGGAATATGAGATTTTATGTAGTAATAAAAGAAAAGGGGGGCTAAATATGCTGGATTTCAAGAGATACTACAATTCAATGTTAATATCACGAACTACAGATTGGATATATAATTCACGTGGGATAAGCTGGGTAAAATGGAGAGCACGCTTAGTAAGGCACCATTAGCTTGGATTATTTGGATACCACATAAGTTCCATACATTGGATGAAGATAGAAGCACTTTGACATGGAATG